ACCCAAAAACCAAATAATCCAGTGAAGAAATGGGCTAAAGACATGAATAGACACTTCTCCAAGAAGACATCCAGATGGCCAACCAACATATGAAAAAATGTTCAACATCACTCATCATCAGGGAAATACAAATCAAAACCACAATGAGATACCACCTCACACCTGTCAGAATGGATAATATTAACAACTCAGGCAACAACAGATGTTGGCGAGGATGTGGAGAAAAAGGATCTCTTTTGCCCTGCTGGTGGGAATGCAAACTGGTACGGACACTCTGGAAAACAGTATGGAGGTTCCTCAAAAAAATCAGAAATAGAACTACCTTAGGACCGAGCAATTACACTACTAGGTATTTACCAAAGGGATATAGGTATGCTGTTTCAAAGGGGCACATGCACCCCAATGTTTACAGCAGCACTATCAACAATACCCAAAGTATGGAAAGAGCCCCCAAAACCATCAATGGATGAATGGATAAAGATGTGGTATATGGAGTATTACTCAGCAGTCAAAAATGAAATCTTACTATTTGCAACTATATGGATGGAACTGGAGGATATTATGCTAAGCAAAATTAGTCAGAGGAAGGCAAATATCATATGACTTGATTCATATGAGGACTTTAAGATACAGAACAGATGAACATAAGGGAAGGAAAGCAAAAATAATATAAAAACAAGGAGGGGGAAAAAACATAAGAGACTTAAATATAGAGAACACAGGGTTGCTGGAGGGGTTGAGGAAGGGGGGATGGGCTAAATGGGTAAAGGCATTAAGGAATCTACTCCTGAAATCATTGTTGCACTATATGCTAACTTGGATATAAATTAAAAAATAAACTAAAAAAAATAAACTATTTAAAAAAAGGACAATGACTTTTCATATTTTTCAAATTCTTATTTTTATCAAAATATTACATGCTTATCAGTTGAAAAGTAAAAAAATGCTGAAAAGGCTTTTAATTAAATATAGTCATCCTTTCCTCCACCTTCCTATCCTCATGTAATTCCCCAGCAGTATCCACTTTCAACCATTTTGGCCCTGTTTTTTAATATATATGTCAGCATTTTATTTATTTATTTATCTATTTATTTATTTATTTATTCATTCATTCATTCATTCATTCATTCATTTTTAATGTTTTTTATTTTTGAGAGAGACAGAATGTGAGTGGGTTGGGGCAGAGAGAGAGGGAGGCACAGAATCTGAAGCAGGCTCCAGGCTCCGAGCTGCCAGCACAGAGCCTGACACGGGACTCGAACTCACAAGCTGTGAGATCATGACCTGAGCCAAAGTCGGACGCTCAACCAACTGAGCCACCCAGGTGCCCCTATATCTCAGTATTTTTAAAAGAAAATGTATACTATAGGCCTTGACTAATTTTGATGTAACATTTTGATGTTACACATTGACTTATTATTAGTGTAGATCTGGGCATTTTAAGACACTTATAACCTTCTCTTTCCCTGTCCACCAAGAACGGTTCTCTACTGATTCAAAGAATACCATACAACGATTCCATTTTGTTCTCTGGTGTTATTTCCTCCTTTTTCAGTTGCTTAGCTCTCCTTCAAAATCTTACTAAGTCTTCCCACTTCCCTCAAAAATGCCATAAGCTGCTCCTTTACATAATTCTCCCTGCAGTCAAATCTCTCTTATGGTTCCATTTTTATAAGAGGTATCTTTTCTGAAGAGCTCTGATCTGCTCCACTCTGTTTCCTAGGCCTGCTGCACAGCTGTCATACTGCAAACATTCTTCACCATTACCCTGGGACTTCCCTTTACCTTCCTTCTATATCGGACCCTGTTTCTTCTTCTAAGTCTACACCTCTTCGCTCTGATAAAAAACATGTATTTTAGTAATGTCTTGAGACAGGGCACATAGGGAATACATTTAGAACTGTGCCTGTCAGAAAATATTTCTGCCCTCACTCTCCATAACAATCTGCCTGACTACAGAATTCTGAACTGAAAATAATTTTCCCCTAGAATTCTGAAAAGCAGTATCACAACTTCCAGTACTGCTGAGAAGCCCAATGATAATGTAATTTCTGAGTTTTTCTACTTCTTCTGACAACTTGTAAGATTTTCACCTTGTCCCTGGTGTTCTGATTTTGTGAACAAACTGTGCCTCTGTGTGAAGCACCTTTCATTCATTGTGTTGGGCACTGTCTTTTGAACTTGGGAGCTTGTTCTTTTCAATTCTGAGATAAACTGTTTCATTTCTTGGATCATTTTCTTCCCACTATTTCCTGTTTTCTTTCTGGAACTCCTTTTAGTCTGATGTTGCCAGGACTCCCTGACACATCACCGAATTTTCTTTCTTAGTGTCTACTTTTTGGTCTGTTCTCTGCTTCTATCTTGTGTCCCACAGTTTAGTCTAAATGCTGCAGCCAGTGATTCTATTGAAAGGTAAGGCAGATAATGTTACTCCTTAGTTTAAAACCCTCCGATGGCTTCCCTTGGTGTAAAAGTCAAAGTTCTTAAGATCTTTTTATTTAAAAAAAATTTTTTTTAATGTTTAATTTTAGAGAGAGAGAGAGAGAGCGCACTAGTAAGGGAGAGGGGCAGAGGGATGGAGAGAGAGAGATTGAGAACCTTAAACAGGCTCCAATGCTTAGCCCGGAGCCCGACACAGGGCTTGATCCCATGACCCTGGGATCATGACCTGAGCTGAAATCAAGTGCAGACACTCAACTGACTGAGCCACCCAGACTCCCCTGAAAGTCAAAGTTCTTAAAATGACCTACACAGACCCTATGTGACTTGGCCCCCATCACTCTGACTCCCTTGCTCACTCTGCTCCACTCATAATAATGACCTTGTTCAGAACAGTCCATAATGTACAGAAAAAATTGAATTAAAAAATTAATAATTATACCTCAGTTACATAAAGAGAGTCAACACCCACACAAAAAATTAATGAGCAGCAGAAAATAGTTTGATTACTTTATGAAAACATAATATACAGCAAATTTCAGCAGCAGCATCCCAGGATATAAGAACTTAAAGCAGGAAGATTTCATTTATTTCATGTAAAATACTAAATTAGAAAATGGGAGGGCATTTATTTCTCATAATAGCAACCCTCTATTTCTGTAATTTCTACTCCGGGCTTAACATGGTGCCCGCGAACATTCTATGAGCAAAGAACAGCACTCCCTGTACTAGAACTTCGTCAATGGTAACTGGCAGGTAGGTGGAAGTCATGGGAAACTCTACCAGCTTTAATCTTTTGGTCTTGAACTATCCAAAAAACAAAAGGACACAGGGGCTTGGTTTGGAGTTGTGTGTGGAATGTAGTAATAACAGCTATAAGAACAACAACATCCACAATCTTTTATCCAAGGGTACTAAGGTTATGTGTGTGCATGCATGTATTAATGTGTGTGTGTGTGTGTGTGTGTGTGTGTGTGTAACATATATCTCAGCAACAGTTTTTTCTGTCAGTGCAACCCAATAAGCTTTTATCAATCTACAACAAGGCAATACAAAAACTAAGAGTTTTTGGAAACTTTTGTAACATTGTGACATTGCTGTTGACATTTTTAAAAATAATTTTTTCAAAAAGTTTATTTGAGAGAGAGAGAGAGAGAGAGAGAGAGAGAGAGACAGCGCAAGTGGAGGGAGGGGCAGACAGAGAAGGAAAGAGAGAGAATCCCAAGCAAACTCTGTTCTGCCAGCTCAGAGCCCAATGTGGGTCTCAAACCCACGAAACTGCAAGATCATGACCTGAGCTGAAACCAAGAGTTGGACGCTTAACTAACGTCACCCCTGCTGACGTTCTTACAGTATTTTACAGAAGTATCTGTATTAGATTGTAGAAAAACAAGCAGAAAAACTGATCTTTCAAGTTTGAGAAGCAATGCTGTATATTATATCAGTCGCCTGGCATGTGGGGCCACACAGTGTCATCCAAGCACCTTAGTATTTTTGTGGCAAAACACAAATTTTCATTTTAAGTTGTACAAATAGCCTGTCAATGAAGGTCAGATTTCACACTAAAATTAGTTATGCAAACAAAGAAACAAAAAAACACCTTTGGTTTTCACAGCTTTTCAGATCTTAAAATTAAAAGGAATGTGGACTACACAACATTAAACACGCTAATAGCAGCCATTATTTATATAACAGCTACTACATGTCAGACAGCATTCTAACCATTTACATATTAAGTCATTTCATTCTCTCAACTGTATGAGGTAGGTATTATTATCAACCTGATTTTCAGCCAAGGAAAATGAAGCAAGTTATTTTAACTAAGGCAACCTGGCTCCAGGATTTATGCTGCAAGTTAACCAAAGAAGTAAAAGACACACTCTTCTGGGACCATTTAGTGCTGGCACAAAAAATATACACCTTACCAGGCCTCATACACATCACTCTAACACTACCCAGTATAATAACTAATGTTAAAAATCATGACTTGGAGTCATCAAGGGTAATTTATATACTTTGTTTATGAAAGCAAAGAGTATGGATAATGTTTTGTAACATGTTCCATTCAAACCTGATGATGAAACAAAAAAAAGATAATGTTACTTTAAGAAGAGTAAACTCTCAGTTCTCCACAAAATTACATTATGAAAGCAGCTAAAATACTCCAGAGTTCCAGACGGCTAAAGTTTTATTATGTCACTTAAAAATTATTATTCAATCCATGAAACCAGCTCAGACTTAAAAATTCACATGTAGATTTTATTTTATTATTATTATTTTTTTTAAGTAGGCTTCATGCCCAGTGTGGAGCCCAATGTGGGGTTGAACTCACGACCCTAAGATCAAGACCTGAGCTGAGATCAAGAGTCCAATGCTTAACCGAATGAGCCACTCAGGCGCCCCATTTGTGTAGATTTTAAAGAAAAATAAATTATCTGAAAAGCAGCTATGTGGAAAATGTTGCTGGGTTAATTTTTTTTAACTTATACAAAATACTGCTTAAGACCAAAATATTCTAGTGCAAAGAAGGGAGAGAGGAAAAATATTATGATACAACTGACCTGATACGGTGGCTTTTCCAGAGATTGTGTTTGGTGTGGGCACCAGGGACGTGGCACTGATAACAGAGGGAGCAGCAGGCTTGCAGGTTCCCACGGGGGCCTGGCTCACACACACTGGCTGCTGCCCAGAAGTTTTTATTACAGGGCCTACAGCAGATGATGAACTGGGAGCTGCTCCTTCTGACTGCTCACAAACAGGGCGGAAAATAATAGAAATTAAGAAGAAAGCAATGTAACTTACTCAGAACAGTAACTGGCAGATAGCATACTCAATACATGTTATCTATTAGCTATTGTATTACCTACCTATTAAATACCATGCATTTAAAAAGAGCGCCTCTCTAGTTTAGTGTTTCCTAAACTTTTAAAGATTTCACAGACCAGGAAAAGTTAAAAAATTATAAAACAAGGAGGCATCATTGTGTTATCACAGTAAAAAACAAAAAACAAAACAAAAAAAACCTCACCACCTACTACGTCACTTTATAAAAGGATATTTCAATACCAAATAAAGGAGGACATAATCTCAGAATATAAAAGTGGAATAAAATGAGCTTTATTAAAAACTCACTATAATGTTTGTCACATTCATTCAACCAACATCTACTTCATGGCAGGCACAGTGTTAAATCCTAAAGCCCAGAGAGAAAAACCCTCAAGGAAAACAGGTTGACTGACGAATGGTATAGTAGGCATAGGTACAAGGCACCATTAAAACTGAGAGGAAAAGAGATGCTGGGTGGCTCAGTTGGTTAAGAGTCCAACTCCTGATTTCGGCTCAAGTCATGCATGATCTCATGGTTCGTGAGAGCGAGTCCTGCATTGGGCTCTGCGCTGATAGTATGGAACCTGCTTGGGATTCTCTCTCCCTCTCTCTCTGCTCCTCCCTTGCCCATGCTCTCTCTCTCTCAGAATAAATAAGTATGCTTTAAAATAAAACAGAGAGGAAAATTACTATTTCTGCCTAGGGATCCCCGGGGAGAGGAGAGTATTGGGAAAAGCTTCATGTACAAAAATGGCACTTTAGGGGGATCTTCAAGATTCAAGACAGGAAAAGGGGGAAACGAATGTTTCTTAGCAGAAGATAGTAGGTAGAAAGAGAGGCATGAAAGAACATGGTTATGTTCATGGGACTATCAAAGTAGAGTGATAACAGGCATGAGAGGTAGTAGTTGTAGGAGATGAAGCCTAAAAAGCAAGCAAAATCAGCTTCAAAAAAAGTCCCTGGGGTGCCAAGACAATTCAAAAGGGAAACAGACTTTAAATGTTGGTAGGCCAATTGACTGTCTACATCCAAAAGAATGAAGTTTGCCCCTTACCTCACACCATATAAAGATTAACTCAAAATGGATCAAAGACCTATATATAAGCTAAAATTATAAAACTCTTAGATGAAAATGTTGGCTTAAATTTTATGATTTTGAATTTGGCAATAGTTTCTTAGCTATGATACCAAAAGCATAAGCAATAAAAAGAAATACACTGGACTTTATCAAAATTAAAAAGTTTTGTGGTTCACAGAGTATCATCAAAGTGGTAAGATGGACCAGAGAGTGGTAGAAAATTTTTGTAAATCTGGTAAGAGACTTGTATCTAGAATAATAATGGCAAAGAATCTGAATAGACATTTCTCCAAAGAAGATACACAAATGGACAATAAGTACATTAAAACATGCTCACTATCATTAGCTATCAGAGAAATGCAACTCAAAGCCACAATGATTACCATTTCACACCCACTAGAATGGATATAACAACAAAAAAAGGAAAAGAACAAGTGTCAACAAGGATGTAGAAAAACGGGAGCCCTCATACATTGCTGGTAGGAGTCTAAAATGGTGTAGCTGCCTGAGAAAACTGGCAGCTTCTCATAGTGTTAAACACAGTTTATGATAGGATCCAGCAATTCCTTCCTACAATCAGCCAGAAAAACCAAAAACCTATCATTACACAAAAACTTGAACATGGGGCGCCTGGGTGGCGCAGTCGGTTAAGCGTCCGACTTCAGCCAGGTCACGATCTCGCGGTCCGCGAGTTCGAGCCCCGCGTCGGGCTCTGGGCTGATGGCTCAGAGCCTGGAGCCTGTTTCCGATTCTGTGTCTCCCTCTCTCTCTGCCCCTCCCCTGTTCATGCTCTGTCTCTCTCTGTCCCAAAAATAAATAAACGTTGGAAAAAAAAAAAATTAAAAAAAAAAAACTGGATATCGACTATTCAGGTATAAAAAAATACTGATACATGCTACAACCTGGATGAACCTTGAAAATACTGTTAAGAGAAAGAAGCCAGACACAAAGAGTAGTTGCCTAGTACTGGGGGTAGGAGGGACTGCTACTGGGTATGGAGTTGCTTTTAGGAATGTTAAAAAAATGTTCTAAAATAGAAAGTGGTGATGGTTGCAAAACCTTGAGAATATAATAAAAACCACAGAACTGTATGCTTTAAAATGGTAAATTTTATAGCATATGAATATTTCAATTTTTTTATTGATTTTTAATTTTTTTAATTTTTAATTTTTTTTAAAGTTTGAGAGAGAGATGAGGGCAGGAGGAGAGAGAGAGGGAGAGAGAATCCCAAGCAGGCACTGTCAGCACAGAGCCCAACATGGGGCTTGATCTCATGAACCCCGAGATCATGCCCTGAGCTACAATCAAGAGTTGGACACTTAATCGACTGAGCTA